ACACACACACACACACAAAATTTTTTTTCTGATAGTCAGAAAAACCCAACCAGCTCTATGGGAAGCAGGAACATCTCTCTCTCAGAACTGCTTTCATTTTTGACCCAAATTTGCTGGCTTACTTGAAATGATTTTACCTTTCTCGTTACAAATTCATTTGAAGCAATACTATAGAATATTCGAATTTAGAGCTTCAAAAACTATTTACCTTAAGGAAATGGATTCTGCCGTTATTTAATGTTATATACTATTTCTTTTATTTTGTCATTCATTTGGTGTTAAATTTTACAATTTAGTCTAATGCCAACCAGTGATCCACCTGGGAAACTTGCCTTAGCAGCCAGATGTCTACATCAAAAAATAACCCATCTTCATAGAAGAAATATACACAAACATTTACACATCATATAAAATAAGGTTGAAATGGGTGGGGCCATTTGATTGACATCCATTTGTCACATTCACTGGAAAATTTCATGGGCAGCTTCCAATATGCTAAGACAAATTTAGATGAATGGAAGCGCTGACTAATGATGCCATTATCTATATACCAAATATAAATGAAGTCCCGAAAATCCTTAGTCATTCATGTGAGCTACTAAAATGACAGGGGAGGGGAACTTAGAAAAATGATAACAAAATATCTTGAGTTGGCAAATTAATCAAAAGAAATAGCATTCAGATATGTAAAAAGATAAAATATGCATAGTTTTGTGAGGCAGATCTAGGCGTAGTAGACAGGGTCTTATGAATTGCAAAAACTGCATTATGTACAATCTTTTTAACAATAAAATTACTTTAACCATTAGTAACTAAGGGTTGTTCTTTTAGGAGAACAAAGTCAACATATTTGTTTTCCTGAGGCAGGTAGGGGCAATATTGTGCTATTCATGAATTTCATTAATATTCATTAATTTTTAAAGCAGTTTGGTTAGATTTGGCTATTATCTGTACAGCTATTTTACCTTTAAATACAGATGATTACAAGAATTTCATTATTTAAAAATGTATTTAGCACAAAATTCAAAACCTATGTTTTCATTACAGGACATTGTTCATAGGAGGGTCCATATTTTCCTGAAGGGTTTGTTTTAATTGAATTCTTGGGATAAAATTCTGAGAATCATAGTGACTAAAATAACCTAAATGTAACCAAAAATCAACTGAAAATACTTTTTTAAATGTTCAAATTAATTTCCACTTTAAAGAATAGCATAGTTGACCCAATTAGCACTGCAAACGAATTTGGTTGTTTGTCATTCTTTATGATTTCACAGTAGACTATTTTCACCCCTCCAGCACCCTTAGATCCCCAAAGATCTCAATGCACATTTAGTGATATTTACCTTATGAAGTAACTAAATCCAGATGAGCACAGAGCTCACATCACTGTAAAAAGAAATTGTTTCCTCATGTTTATGGCTCCCATTCTGGGACTAGAAACTGAAAACTCTGAAAATTATCCTTGTGCAACTAGGAAATTGTGCACAGAAATGCAAAATAGTTTTATTTGTAAATAAGCCCAGCCATAGAAACCATATGATTCCATGCTCTGTAGAAGTCCTCCAGCCTTTGTAACTCAGGCTTTTTACACCAACTAGCACAGATTAACAACCAGGGCAAATAATTCACACACCTGGAGTTGGAAACGGAATCCCCCACATGTCCTTCCTGGATTCATGTCCACAGCGAGGTACACAATGTTGAGTTGCACTTTGGGGACTATAAGAAAATAAATAAGTAGAAATTAAAATACCGCTCAAAGAAGTCTGAATAATTCAGGGAAATTATTGAGGCATGGCCAACGGGAAAATTCACTATAGCGAATACCTAAATTTTCAAGAAAACACATTTCTTTTTGTGGTTTTTTTTTTTTAAACTTCCTGCTCTATAACTGTATTTGACTATGTTTGCCAAAAGTACCTTTTAGTCCCCGAGAAACACCTCAGTTGCATTTTCTTTAGATTTTGGTTTTTGGTTGTGTGTTTAAGGTAAACTGGCCCTTTAGGACTAGTACAAGTTTCCTGTTTAGGGCAGTTTGGAAAGTGGAGGAAAGCATCTTGATTTTTGTTATTATCAAAGAAACATGACTGTAGACATTTTTCTAAAACCATGGTCACTAACAGCGTACTAACAAAAAGAGTAAATCCAGTACCTGGCATCCCTAAATGAAGTAAACCTGCCTCCCTATCCCCACAATATCAAAGTGGGATAATGGGTAGCATTCTCTTCAGAGATATTTATTCACTCTGACTTACTGTTGAAGAGAAGAATTTTGCTGCATTGCCCACTTTATTGGTCCTGAACCCTCTCAGCCATCCATTACAAGGGGGTACCTCAACCCTGCCTCTGATTTCCTAGGTCTGAATACAGTATTTGGCCTTCCAAACTAGATACAAAGTTAACGTCAGGTTCCAGCTCCTCCACGAAAACTTGTGGCCCCCAAGTGGCATTACTTCATGAATGCTTGGGGTCATAACTCTGCAAGTCAGGCCTTGTCCTCTTCAGCAGTCTGAGCAGGAGTCAAGGAGTCCCCATGAAAGTACAGAATGGAAAGTGTTAATCAGAGTCCTCCAGCACTGGGAAGGTGGGAGGGCAACAGGAGCATCTTGGGGGGGGGGGGAGCAACTGGAAACCGCAAACACCCAAACTGGGTAGCAGAGACTCGAACTAAACCAGGAAACCTAGCTTAGGGAAAGGAGTCAGTTTAGACTGAAGGGTGTAATCAAGGTATCAGAACAGACCTATTAAAGACAGAAAAGGTGGTAACATCTCTGCCCCCAAAAGCAAAGATTTCTTTTATGTTGAGACCTCGAAATACAGTTTATGACTCTAATGCCCTTTATTCCGAAAGATCCCTTAAGTGTCTGTGGAAATGTCCTGCAGGAGTGTAGAAAGCCATCCTACCACTCCGCCACCCCACCCCCGCCGGCTTTGCCTCGCTACCGCTTCCAGGTAACCTTTGTTGCCAGGTCGGGAGACCCAAAGCAACAACCTTCGCCCCTGTCGGTGCATCCTCCAAACCCTCGGCAGCAGCGAACCGGCTGCAGGACCAGTTCGCCGCACCCCATCCCCCTCCCCCGCTTCCCTGCGCCCAACCCCAACAGCCAGCACGCCCCTGCGCAGCCCCTTCCCCATCCCTACTCTGGGAGCCATCCTTTATCTCCCCCAGAAACCCACAGGCACTCTCCGCGCCCACCAGCAAATTCCTAACAGCCCCAATCTCCCAGGAAAGGAAAAAAAAAAAAAAGGAGCGTGACATCACGGGCAGGTTTATTTGGGTTTGTTTGTTTGTTCGATTAAATACTCGTGGAGGTGAGCGTACACCACACAGGAGAAGTTTGATGTTGACAAACTTCTGGTGGCAGCGAGACTGTGTCAGCACAACTTCCGGGATAATGAGAGCTGCTTTGCAGGGAGCGCGGCAGCGGCGGCGGGAGGTGGCCGCAGGACGGAACAGCAAATGCTATTCAGCCCGAGCAGTTTCAAGCCGCCCGAGCTGGGGAATTACTGTAGTCGAGCTACGGCTCTTACCACCGGCGCTGGATCTAGGCGCGCGTTAGGGGGGGAAGCTGCAGGCACAGGGCGCCGAGAGGAGAGCTTTCAAGTTACTTTGCTCCATCTCTGCACCCGGCTGAGGCTTGCAGGCTGCGTGGTAACTGCAAACATCTTGTTCCTTGCTTCTTTGGGCGGCCGCCCTGGAACCAACCAACTTTTCTCTCCCCCCAAACTCCCTCTTTGTTTCAAATAGGACTCTCCAAAATTTATTCTTGGGAAGACTGACAGCCGGGGTCAAGAAACAGCTGTTGAAGTTAATGTTTCTTCCTCCCACTTCGTCTGATGGTTGTGCCCTGCCAAGACAAAGTGAGAGGCACTGCCTGGTGGCTTCTTTAAACAGACATGCATTTAGCCAAAAAAAAAAAGGGGGGGGGGTTCCTGCTTAACATACAATCTGATCAGAAATGCAACAGCATGTGCCTTTCAACTTGTGCTGATTACTTGCTCAAAAGATGCAGCAGCTTTTAGTTTTGAACACTTTGAGCATTGGGGGAGGGGATGGCAGCCGAAGCGGTTGACACTTTCCACGGTTTGGTAAAGGGGTAAACATTTTAAACCTTCCTCCCTCTGACCCACCGCTCACCCTCTAAGAATGGCAGAATAGCCTGGGGGAGGGAAAAAAAGAGTTGCATTCCTTAGCAAGGTTTAATTCACATTTCAAAATTCAAGTCATTATGCAGAACAAGGGCTTGCCTAGAGCTAGGCAAATTGTTTTTTATTTGGAGACTTAAGCCAACCCTGGATGGTGCCACCAGCCCTTGGTGGCTCTTGGTGGCTTTCTCCAGATTATACCTGCCTCCTCTCCCTTTCCCCAATCTAACTCCTTGTTTGCCCGGAGGAGGACCTACTCTGGGGGAAGCTACACTATTCTTTCTGCTGCTTTCTCCAGGGTGAAGGCTGGTTTTAGCATAGCCCCTCCTCAGCTCTGCTTTTTAGAGTGCCAGTGGGCTGCTAAGGGACCTTTGGGTTATCTTTCTAAGCCTCCATCCCCTGAAGGAGCCCTCTCCAGGTGTCCAACCTCTGCAGTGGGAGTGCGCAGATGGGAACGCGATTCCTTCCACATCAGAGGGTTTTCCCACTCTTGCAACAGACCCATTTTCCTGGGGGAATGCTCCGCTCTCTTGGCCTCTCTCGGACACAATCTTATGAAGACATAAAAGGCCCTCCTTCTACGCCACCAGGTTATCCTGTCACCACATCGCAATGCAGTGCCATCACAAAATGCTATTGCATCAGGCCCAAGGATATTTTAGGAAGCTCTCAAACTGGGTCCAACAAGCCTTCAGCAGGCATCAGGCCCACACTGCCAAAATCAGGGCTGCAGAGCTGCTGGACAGGTGGCCATGATGCCCTCTCTATTCTCAGCTCCATTACCCACTTGCTCCCCCCATCCCCCAAAACAGTCAGATCCACTCGCTGGCTTCCCATGCCTCTTTGCTTCATTCTCAGATGCCACCACCTTTGTTTTTCCTCTGTCTCTGCAAAGTGTTTCGGTCCACCTTCTGATGTATTTCCTGTTTTTCTGCCTATTGTAGTCACTTGTTGAGGCCTTAATTTGTATTTGTTCTTATTAACTATAAATCAGCTGAGTTACACTGGGAGTTGCAGTGGCTGCCACACATACAGACTCCAACTTGGGGGCCTGTGGGCCTCCTTGACTTGTTCGACTTGGGTGAACTTCTCTCCTTCTTCAGACTCTAGATCACCTAGCAGGTTGGCACAATGGCAGCGGCTAACTACCAGAGTACCACACTCAGCAAGTGTCCCCTTCTCTGAGTCCTGCTAATGCAATCCAGCAGCCAATTGACTTAAATTCCCTCCACTTTATTGTTCTCCATCCTTAGAGAGGCCAGTGCTCAGCGTCTAGCAGGACTGGAAGGCAGACCTCCACTGATCCTGGAGTTGTAATTCCCTACTGCTGGCTCCTGCAGTTTTATGACAGCCCTTTTCTCCCCAAGACTGACAGACATAAACCTCCAGTGTGGAGGCCTGCAACAGCACCCTTAAAGGCTTCTTTGTGTGGAAATGTAACCTTTGGGCAAAGTCGGCCCTGCTCCAGGAAAGGCACATTATTCTGCTACAGGGAAGTACTGTGTGGCTCAAACCTCAGGATTTCTCCTTCTGGCTGGCTACCTGGGATTCTCCCAGGGACAATGCTTTCTTCCTCTAAAAAGAATTTTTTTGTGGGGGGACTTTGGGGGACTGGGAGTGCTGTAAGAGAAGGCCTGTAGTGGCTATTTAGGGAACTGTACATGCAGTCAGAGGGATCAGATATCCTTCCTTCAGTGAGTGGGTCTCTAAATGCAACCACAGGTCAGAGCATCCCCTGGTGGGGTGGGAGTTAGCATCATTTGCTCTTCTTGGAGCTGATTCTACTACCATGCCCAAACGGAATGCCTTTGGATCACTTAGAGGATCTGATCTATTTATGCAGGTGTTGGGTTAGACAAATCACTCCAAAAAAGTAGAGTGAAAAAGTACAGAATCTTAATTTATCATGCAGGATTGAAGTCAGTTTTTAATCAGGTAGAATTATTAAGAGGTTTAGAGTCAGTGTCTTTTTCCAAAGAGAAAAAGGACTGAAGAATCCTCTTCACTGGAGTGTAGTGAAGTCAGGAATGTAGCATCTTATGTTTGGAGTTTGTTTTGTTTTGTTTTTTTCCTGTACCTTTTAAATATTCACTTATATTTTCAATCAGTCAAATAGAATAGTAATAGGAAAGTCAGTTATCAGATATATATGATTATGCATTAACTGTTCCATATAGACAAGTGCAAAAAAACAAGATGAAGTTATGCACTTGTCATTACAGAGTGGGCTCCCTGTAGGAACTGGGACTGTGCCTGAATTAAGGGGCAGGTGAGATATATAGCTAGTTAGAGAAGATAAACTTGGAATCAGGGAGAGTTAAGAAAGACACAAACAGTTCATACAGAATCCAGTTGAGATGTGGATATTTAGCTTTGTCACCCCAGGAGCTGGATTTATTAGTATAGAGAGGTTAACACAACCAACGCTTTTAAGTCAATGTTTTTGGAAAATGTATTCTCACAGAGTCAAGAACATGGACGGTGAAGGCAATAGAAACAAGGTGGTATCTTTAGATCATATTTGAGATTGCAGAATATGGACAGAAATTTAAAAACTACACATGCAATTATTTCCCCCCTTCTCTTTCTCCCTAAATCTAAGCAGGAGTTTAATTTAGGATTAAAAGGCTCTGCTGTTTCTCCTCTAGCTTCTCCTGCAGTTATCCCATCCACACTCCAGTTCTGGTTTTGGGCAGAACTGCAATTGTTCTTTGTAGGGAATTCCATGAACTCCTGTGCTGGTTTTCTAGTGTGGGAAAATGTGGACTGGGAAGGCAAAGACCACCAAACTAGTTTCATTATGACCCAAGGTACACTTAAATCCAGCCCTTCAGTGGTAGGCAACTGGTCCCGCTCTCTTCCTCTACAGCGCTCATTAAAATGTTATTTACATTTTACAGTATGGTCCCAAGCCATACGTTGGGATTTTTATCTTGGCATATGGAAAAAAACCAAACAAAAAAAACTCTTGTGATATCTGGGCCTGCAAAGTTTTAACTTGTACTATGGAACTGCTGGTGATTTGCAAAACAGGGTCTTAGCACTGGAGAAAGATCATCCCATTTGCACTCAGAGAAGTTGGTGGGGAAGTGAAGAACAAATGCAAAACCCATGGTCACAAAATTAAACTTACAAAAATCAAATAGATTTTAACCTTTACCTTCCTCTTAAAAGTGAATGTAACATTTGCCAATAGTACAAAATCCACAACTCTGATAAAAGTGCATTTTTATACTTTGGCCTGGCGCCTACTGCAAAGGTGATGATGAGTCTTCGTAACTACACTCGATGTCCTTGCCTTTCATTCACGTGACCAGAATTATTCCAGATCAAAACCAATATCATTAATCTCAGTCACTTTTAGGTGAACCAAACTGTCTGGATTCTTACCTCAATGGGCCAAATTAAATTAACATTTTAATGATGTGTTTCTGGCATTGTTCATGCTTCATAAAGAGTAACTCACTTTATTTGACTCAAGGCAACAAGGCTAAACAAGTGATTCAAAAAAAATGGATCTTTTCCAGGTCTGGAAATTAAGTTTCCCTGAGTTCTTCTGAGGCAGTTAAGATTCTTCAGAATCTACAAGCCCCGCTATATGATGCCGCCACCTTTCCAAGACAACCATTAAAAATTACAGCTAGAACCAGTTATGAGAATAATTTTTTGCAGCATCTTCATGAAGGCCAAATGAAAATTAGAGGCCATCTCTCAAATGGAAATAGGCCAAACATCTAAGATCTCTTGAGATGCTTGACATCTTGCCATGTTGTCATCACATTCAAATCCTGGATAAGGTATTCTCGTCTGAGTTTCACTGACTACCAGTAAGGGGCATGTGCAGAATAATAAGTGACTCAACTTTTAGTGTCCCGGTTAGAACCTAACATGCCTAATAACATTCCCAGGAAGAGGGTATGAGGAATGTGCATCAAAGATGGCATCAGCTCTTCACCTGTCAACAGCCTGATGACATCATGCCTAGGAGCCACCTTGATTCTGTGGTTTGTAAAATTCTGGGATTATTGTGATTACCATACAGAATGCTCAGCTGAAAACAATAAGCTCTTTCTCAGCTGCAGAATGGTGGACAACAAGGTCAACTACAGAGGATTTTTGAAATTAAATTCTAGGAGAAAGCAACGACTTCACTGACTCAAGAGAGGTTTGGTTGCCAAATACCTATCTCAGACCCTAGCAGTGACACAGTACATTTGATTTCCAAAGGCGTTTCCCTCCCAGAAGATCAGAGTTAACATAATATTTTCTTTCTTTTTTTTCCTAACCAACAGGTGAAACCAAAAGTTGTCTCCCCATCTCTGTTCAAAAAAGTCATGTGCCAGTCAGCAAAGAAATGTCTGTATACACAGGGAATCTTCAAATTTGCACGTATATCAAAAGGCCTTCAACATCATGCGTCTAGTTATAATCTAAATATAAATATAATCATGCAACTGTCTAAATATAATCAACCAAATTAATAAATTCCATCACTTTTCAGCACTACACTAGCGGTTGACTTTCTTTTCAGGGCCATTTTTTTTTTTTCACAAAGAAACAAAGTTATTATCTCTTTGCAAGATTTATTGCAGATGTGACAATTAGAGA